CTCCAGGCAATCCGAAAAGGCCTCGAAGACCGGGAACCAACACGTTGGACTGTTGAGGCGGGCGTTTGGACAAATAAACAGCTCCATATTTCGACAAATGCTCAGTGCGTATGTTCGCCCCCCAAGTAGAATACGCAATTCAAGCCTGGCATCCATGGCTGAAACGCGACCTTAATGCACTGGAGCAGCCTCAACGCCGGGCATCTAAGAACGTAACTGGAATGCGCAATCTGTCCTACCAGGAGAGGCTGCAACGACTAGGATTGTTCAGTGGAAGCTATCGCAGGCTACGAGGCGACCTGATTATGACATACTTGATTCTGCGAGACCCACATCAGGTGTGCCGCCCTTTACTGCAACTCAGCAGCAATACAAACCTGAGGGGCCACTCATTAAAACTCGCAGAACAATACAGTCGTCTGGAGTGCCGCAGAAATTTCTTTTCCATCCGTGTCTGTCACCCGTGGAATGCTCTCCCAGAATCGGTCGTCACCGCACCGACACTAACAATATTTAAAAGACGGTTGGACGATGCACTCATCCCCTTACACTTTGTTACTTAACACTATGTCTCCATCCTACATCTGGAGTTTACCCTGGAATTATTTGTTGTTAACTGTGAGTGTTGTGAATCTAAGTGGATCGCAGGACTGCAGCGAAGCAAACGATAAGTCCTTATTTTCGTATTTAAAGTGTTAACTATTTTACTATCCTTTTCATCATAATTATTATGTTGATATCCCCACCAACTATCCAACGGGGCTTGTAAAGCAACGCTTCTTAACCAGTATAAATTCATTGTTCATTGTTCATTGAACCACCTCCAATTCGGATGCGGTCCTTGTGATCGTAATGACCGTGGTCTGCTTCAAAGTGAACTGAGGTCTGAATAGAGATTGCGAGTCGCAATCCAACCACACAGATGATACACAAAATGCGATTTTGAACGTGGTCACGGTTATCATCCACTTACTGACACTGAGTGCTCTACATAACAACCCAGAATGGCCTTAGGGTCTGAAACGGTGGCCCTAAAAATAAAAACAAACGGCAATCCACCCCGCAATGGTCCGCATCAAACCTCAACCCGAAATCGGCATCCGCAAACTCGCTTCTAACCACCCAGGCCCTTAGCTTCTTGTATACCAACGCGCAAGATCTTCTCAGCTAGCTAACGGAACTACGTACTCGTCAGGTTTCCACGCACTGGGACATAGTCATGGTCACTGAAACATGGCTGAACACAGAGGTACCCGGTGCTGAGACTGCTCTGTCTAGCATGACTCCTCAACGAAACGACCGATCCGGAAGAGGTGGCGGAGTGCTGCTCTATTACTGATCTGACCTGCATATTTCTACCACCGATCATCCAGTTACACACGTCGATTTTTCTCGGTGCCGTATGCACCTGAGACGTGGTGATGTGTGTTTACTTGCATTGGCTTACAGTCTTTCAACCTCCACCTTGGAAATGGATCACTGCCTAGCTTCTGCGATGAAGCGGGTCCTGGCACGGCTACATGAACACGTCCTTTCGTTGGGGGGGGGGGTGGTTTACCAACTTCACGCTATCGAAGACCAAGCATCATTCAGCGAACAACTCCAGAGGAAACCGCCGATGTACCTCTCTACAACCATTTCACCTCTCCCACACCATTCAGCACAGGTGAGGCACCGTATGTTTTGGACCTTGTGCTCAGCAACAAAGCCACCTTGAAAAATGATGCTTCACTTAGCCGTAGAGAGCACGCGATGCTGCTCTTCCGTTATATCTGCTACGCGGAATACATCAGTAAGAACAGCGACAAAACATACGTCGTCAGTCGTTACGTCATCCTGTCCGACATCGTTCGGGAATCCGACCGGTCGTCCCCAGCCGGGCCGCCACCCGATGTATGTGACCAGATCCACCGGTCTAGTGACAAATGCGTCTGAAACCAGTCTTTCGCCCGAATCAAATCAAGTACTTTCTGAGGAGCCTGACTTGAAAATGCATGACCATACGGGATTCAGCTTGACGCGCTTGCAAAGTCTGTCCTAATAATCAGGTCTGGGATGCTTAGACAATTCAACGAAACCACTACGTCAACTTGGGCCGGAAAGACCAAGTTTGGCAGCAACAGAATCCTTGCGACGAAATTCAGTACTAATCCTAAATGCTGTACGACCACGTCAACAAGCTCCGCAGAATCCAGCGTGGAATTCCGGTTCTACATGCAACAGGTGGTCCAGCGTTCACTACGCAAGAGGCGGCAAACGTGCTTCGCTAGCACTTCATCTATACTCCATAGTGAGTGGCCATCTCACCCACTTTACACAGAGCTCACACCACCCCCAGGGTTAGTCCACCTAGTCTTCACTGCAGCGAATGTGAAGTAAATACCTTTCGCGTGCACTGCTCTCTTAACCTGGACGGCATAAGACCGAAGGTATAAGAGACAGTCACCATGAACAGCACCGAACTGTTAGCTCGGTTAGTTCAAAGATGCCTTGATGAAATTCAAGTCCAGTTATTGTGGACACATGGACTAATGACTCCCATGTACAATAATGGGAATCATGCGGAGCCTTTGAACTACCGTCCAGTCATTATCCCCCGGTGTTGTCCAAAGTAATGGAAACTATTATCGCAATGGCGCTATGGGATACATAGAAAGTAGCAACATCATGGTGTCAAAACAATACGCAGTCCGCTGAAATCGGCCCTACACAAGAAACGTGTTGCTATTCCGAAAGGGCTGGACAGAATCCTTCGATGTCAGACTAGGAGTCGACCTCGTCCACTTGAAGTTCTCTAAAGCGTTTGACCATCTGGACCACCGTATTCTTAATCACCAGCTTCGAAGCCATGGAATCAGTGACCCTGGGCATGGATAAACAAGTTCTTCATTCAACATCAGACGAATGTGAGAGTACGCAGCTTTATTTTCGACCCAACTAAAGTCCAGTGTGGTGTGCTCCAAGGTCCAATAGTGGGACCATGTTTATCCCTCGTATTTAGCCACGATTTTGCTAGTGTACTCCGTACGATATTAAAATCTGGCATAACATCAAGACAGCGGAAGATCACACGGTATTGCAGAGCGATTTCGAATGGGCCTATACGTTGTCATCCGGAAACCGACTCCATTTCAACTTGCAGAAATTCAAAATCGTGAGCCTGTGCTTTACCCATGACTACCGACTTAGGACCAGGAGTTACGACATGTTTCCCAGAAAAGCGACCTGGGAGTGATGGTGCAGTACGACGTTGCGTGCTCGAAACAGGCTGAAAAGGCGTTGAAAACAGCCAGTCAGCACCTTGGACTCTTACGGAGATTTTACAGCAAGTTCGAGCTATCTAGCTTTCCACTGATGATGAACGCGTACGTGAGGCCCCATGTGTGATACGCAATCCAGGCCCGGCGTCCCTGGCGCAAGCGCGACATTGATGTACTTGCATCTCCTCAACGTAGCGTGACCAAACTCCTTTCATCTTTCCAACTGAGAGAGACTACCAGCTTTGAGATTGTACAGCGGTGAATATCGACGTCTGCAAAGAGATCTCATCAGGGCTACGAGTCCAAATCAAGCTTGTCGCGACATTTCAGCAGAGCCGAAATATGAGACTGTGAGGCCACGCACTACAGTCGACTTGATTGTCGACAGAAACTTTTCTCCCTGCAAGTGTGCCAAATGATCTCATCTTCACTCCTAGATTAAAGCTTTATGAAAAACGTATTGGTGCCCAGCTTTTACACTTGCATTACTGGACGCGGTTCGTCTCACTCGGAGGATAAACTAGCGCGAACCGAACTATGTGTTCAACGGCTCTCTTTGCAATGTGGCGTTGAGAACATGCATAAGCGTGTATGGTTGTCCCCAAAGTGGATTTAATTATCACTTCATTCCAATAGAGCGGCACACAAGTGAGCGTTGTCATTTGCTTTTTTTCTCACGGAGTACTGAAGTATAACCGCTCCGCATATCATTTTGCGCGTGCACATCCAATTCCCATTGCAAGCTATCGTTATGCAGTTATGCAGTGAGTTCGGTGGACGCTTAAACAGACGATTCAGTCTGCGTATGTTAATATTCACTTCAAATATTTTAAGAGACCTGTCAGCCACCTGCTTTTTAACCAGTGATAAAACATTGTTTCTAATTCATCGTTCACTGATCATCTTCATCTCACTGAGTTGCCAGTTATGCTATTCTGTACTTGACCTCTGCTCTGTGTCACTCGTTGTTTGACAACCGTTGAGTCCATTCGCATTAGTTTCCCTCTCTTATCCGTCCCAACAGACTTAGTACAAAACTGACACTAGGATGTAGTAGTTGGACCACCAATCACACACCAAGGAGCCTCAGGTGCGATTCCGAAGTCAGATTACGCATGCCCGGATACTTCAGACAACGACGAGTCCAGTAGCGAAGTTTAGTGTCAAAATAAGGCAGTGTTTACCTATCGTTAACTTCAGAGTAAACTTGTTTTAAACGATGGCATTCCGTGGAATTGAAGTCCCATAGTCGCAGCTACCTTAAATAGTGGGGCGTTGGTGAAGAAATGGAAGAGTCAGAGGCTGTGGTGGAGTGTACCTTATGCAGTTCTTAGTTTGCGTTAATTTCTATTAAAGCCGATTCACAATGCAGTCGAGGTCATTCATGTGTGGATCACATAATCCTAGGTATTCCTTCGGTTATTCCGCCAAAATATATGCAAACAATACAGCAGTGTCGACAAAGAGGTTCTAAGAGCGGTGATTGTGATTGTAGGCTACTACTATCCACAAGCAGGTTTAACAGACGAACAGTGTAAGAGAACGCTGACAGCAACGCGTACCGTGGTAAAAAATGTACGGAATAATCTGTTTTCAACACTGAAGAGTTGCCAAAAATAACAACTTGCTCCATGATTGAAATAAATAGGTTTCTGTCACCAGCTTTCGGCATTTTTGTGTGATGTGTGGTTTCTAGTTCGGAAAGCAAATGATACACCCTTAAATCGTGCAAGCACTTACCAGAGCTTTTAGCGGTTTCTGCACATTACACAGTTCCAAAATGCGCAGATTATCCGGAACTGGTCGATGTATAGCCCGCAACAAACGATAAAGCGCAATTGCTTGAATCTATGGGAAGAAAACAATACAACAATAGAATGTCCACCGTCGAGTAAAGTTTTGTCATTCAGCGACGTGATCGCTGCACTTGTACAAATTGCGCGCGTTCAAGGGAATATAATAGTACAATTTATCATGCTCAAAAATAAGCTTCGGGAAACACCTAACTCAGGTTATCATCTGAACTTTGGATACTGAACGCTCGCACTCCAGAGATAGACACACTACCTAAACGCTCTCCAGCAGAAGGCTAAAATGCGATACATGACTAGCTTAAAACGGGCTTCTACAAATTCCTTTTTGACCCACTAAGGGATTGAATGCTTCCTTTTTTCGAACGTTTCTGTAATTTAGCAATGCTACCAACTCGTCGATAAGGTTTTTGTAACAAGATTTGTGTACGGCACCGATGTGATGTAAATTTGCGACCAAAATTAAGGTATTCAGCATCACTACACGTGTCAGAGACAATGCAAGTATCGAAAGTATATATTAATAGCTTTGCAGCCTTTGACCATCTATATCGGAAATACTACTCATATTTAAAGGTGGTCTACGAATAAATCGTGCTTGAGTGCAGCAGTTGAGCTTCGGTGGCAGGCGGAGTCCACGGTGGACTATTCTGAAGTGATCCCCTTTCCCTACGTTAACTACGTTTTCCACGCACCCGTGCACATGCTACACCGGTGCCCACTGTTATCCAGTGCTACCTCATATTGGGGAAGTAGCCGATAACGAAATAAAAAAGCGTGGTGAACTTAAACAGGTTGGTGTTAGGCCAAGCGATCTGATGTCCTAAAAGTACAACTTCATTATGCGGCTCTGGTCATGAACTGCTCTGCTGTGGTTCATATGCATGAGGCAGCTGACTATACGACGCAGCCTGTCCGACATCTCAGTTTATCCCCCCATATCGTCGGCTTTCGTGCCTGCTTCATGTGACTTGACGTTTGGACAATAGACCCTCTGGTGGGGAGAACTCTTTGTACTGACGGCTCAACGCCCCACGAACTGCGATGATAACACTGCCGACGGAGGTGGCTGATAATTCCCAGCTAACCCGGTTACTACTACAACAGCAGCTAGAGTATATCCAGCAGAAACAGCGGGCTATGATTTAACAAAAACAAGGACAGAGACTGTTGTTTCAAGCAGTCACAGAAACTGTCATCCCTACGTTTAACACCAGCCACAGTGAAAAGCGACTCCACTTTCAGCTGGACCATTGGCAAACGGAATGCAAGGTTTCCAATATGACGCGGAGAACAACATCCCTTTCGTAATCTGGTACAGGTGGTATGAAGACATCTTTCTGGTTGACGCGATAATGCTTGACAAGGGGGCTAAAGTACGGTTGCTGTTTCATATGCGCGTAATGAATCATTCAGGCGGACGTTTCTAGCTCAAACGATCGGTCCAAGTCACTCATTTTTCCATCCGGCTTAACCTCAACAGTTGACGCAGAAATCGGGATAAGTCTGTTATCCAAACTGGACTCATCTCCAGCGTTCACCATTCAGGACGCCACTGCAGTGTCAGTGCCTGCTCGACTTAAAAAGCGACTCACGGTTGTTGCAGTCGAGACAACTAATATCTGAGATCACAGTGGTTGATACAGTTTCTATTCGAAAACCGACGGAAGTCTATAACACTGCACGACAGAAACCCCACGTGTTTGTTGGAATTTTGGTGAATGGTATTTTGCCGGAAACTTTCCATTCATCAAGCATCAGTGCAATGTCTGCTACAAAATAGGCCACAACGGAATAGATTGCCGATGGAACACACGACGTCCTAATCGTGGTGGCCAGTGGAAACCGCCTCAGCAACACCGAATCCAATGGAGTCTAATATGTTTTACATAACTGTACAGGAAGGATAATTTTCAATTCATAATTTCATCACCATCACTAACAATGGTCACTCAGTGCGCCTACAGCTGGATACAACATCTGACACTACTATCATCCCTAGTCAGACATGGCATGCAGTTACTATGCTGCGGGAAATACCGCAAGGAGTGCCTCGAACAGTGTTCCTACGGGTAAATGGAAACGGTTTCGTGTGAATAGATTTACGGAAAGGATTAGCGAAATGGTGTCAGTCACGTTGCTGACAATTCGGGATTAAAACGATTTGGTATCGATCGCACTAAAGCGTTGAACTCGTGGCGTATTCCTCTGGACTATATGCGATCTAAGCGAGGAAAGTTTATCACATCCAGACACGTCATCACAAGGCTACGCGGCTCAGAATTCTGAAATCGCCGACGATACGTAGAAGCAATTCCCAGAGTTGTTCAAGCCACGTTTGGCTATCGCACCAAAGTTACGGCGTCTCTGTACTTATTAGATGATGTAAACCCGGTTTTCTGACCAAAAAGACCGGTACCGTATGTTTCTCTTAAATTAGTTGCCGATGAATTGGTTCGCTTGGAGTAATCGAGGGTGATAACTAAAGCAAAATACTCAGACGCGCCTGCACCAGTAGTAATATTGAAATGGGCAAATGGATCCATCCTTTTCAATGTATCTTTTCAACCAGCCTGGATACAACACTGGATCTCCATCAATACCCTCCGCCAATATCGAAGGATCTTTTCACCAGATGCCACGGCACTTAATTTTTATTGACTTATCTCTCAGATGTCTATCCGTGTTAGTCAACGATGACGCACGGCACCTTCTTACAATTAACACTCACGGTGGCCTGTATCAGTACAATCTGGTACCGTTCGGAGTAAACGCTTCCTTGGGTTTCCTCAAACAGTTATTGGATAAGATGCTGGCAAACATACCTTCGGCTTGTGAATACTCGGGTGACATTATCGTTGTACCATCACACAGAACCCAGCATATCTGGCAACACTTCCACGTGTTCGAATGTCTACGGGAATATGGGTTGACTCTGAGAGCTGATAAACATCATTTGTTTATGTCCGAAATGAAACATCTTTGTCCTATTGTCGATAGGTGCGGATTCAGATCGGATATTGTAAAATTGCGCGCCATTGCGGAACCACCTACTCCACACGATACACCTAGCTCGCAGTTGTTCCTCGGCACGATGAGTTATCACAGTGCGTTTAATCGTAATATTCATCGGTTTCACGGAACAACGAATGAGTTGTTATGTAAAAGTTGCCCTGGTTTTGATCACTCTAATGTGAGGAAGCGTTTAAGCTCATTAAGGAAGCCCTTGGATCTGCTTTCGTGATAACACATTATGACCCAAAAGCCGATATTATTGTCTCGCAGATGCTTTGGGTTATGGCGTGGCAATGGCAATCCGTCAGCGGTACGATTCTAATACCATGAGACAGGTTATCTACCCATCACGGGTCTGACCTTAACTAATGACAGATCCAGTATGGGACAGTATCCTTAACTTTGGTTGTCAGAAAGTTTCATCGGATGCTGTAGAGTCGAAAATTCGTACTGGAATCTGGTCATAAATCATTGGTCATAAATCATTGTCAGCTATTTTTGATGCAAATCAGAGCATCCCAGTGTGCACCGCGAATCGTCTCTAACTTTGCACGACGCTGTCACTCGGATGTAATTTCACCATAGCTAAGGTGCCTACGGTAGTTGCGTTCCCACGACCTGTCGCAAAACTGCTGAGCATAAAAGAAGACCAGATGATTGCTTCAGTCGCATTTCAATCGGGTGTGAACAGCTTCTGGCTAATTCAATCAGAGCTCTTCCGATTAATTTTTGCAGACATTCAAGAGCATACCAAAGTCGACCCTGTTTTACAAAGCGTGATTCGTTTTAAACACAAACTGGCCACACTAGATTACTGGTGCACATCACCAATGTTAGCCTCGACCTGACTCATCAGCACTAGTCGATAATTGTGTTGTGTTCTCTGAACGCGTCGTTGTGTCGAAGTCACTGCAGGCAAGGGTATTAAGAGAGGTACACCTGCATCACCCCGGAATATCGTGCATGAAACTTCTAGCCAGGAGTTATGTATACTGGCAGTGGAATCCAGGAGTCCATCGCCACATGTAGCAATTGTGCTTCAGCAGCGAAGCTTCCAAGACAATCATCCAACCATGGCTGGCAGCCTCAAAGCCTTAGGAGATGATTCACGTTGATTTCTCTGACCCACTGAAAGGTCGATGTTACTTAACTGTGGCTGGCGCGTGCACCAAATAGCCAGACGTGCACCTGATAAATACAAATAAGACAGCGGACACAGTACGAAAATTAAAACTTTTATTTTCACAATTCGGTTCACCAAACACATTGGCTTCCGATAACCACACAGCTTATCTCCAATGATTACAGAAGAGTAGTGGGGGGAGTTGAATGGTGTAGGTAGAATTTCGTCACATCTAGGCTCACTCAGACAGCCGCCACAAACCCGGAAAAGCACTGTACGCGCATTTCATCCTTTCGGGAATCATCAGCAGTGCGCATTCCATCGGACCCTTGGTAGGGCTCGAAACCGCAACTCGACTGTTGCCAGTCCGTGGTTGAGACCACTGAGCTACGGGGGACGGCACCGACCATCGTGAATAAGTTACTAGATGTGATATAGCGCCGCTCACTATCCACTGAGTTACACGTTACTGCCGTGCAGAGGACAGGGTAGCCCCCTCACCAAGCGACGAGCTTAACAAACTTAAGCCGCCAATTATCTTATGGCATTATAAGCAGTTTGTTCTGTGTACTGATTACAGAAGAGTAGTAGGGGGAGTTGAATGGTGTAGGTAGAATTTCGTCACATCTAGGCTCACTCAGACAGCCGCCACAAACCCGGAAAAGCACTGTACGCGCGTATCTCCAATGAATTGGATGTTTTCTGTCAACGTCAACGTCATCTCCGGTCATCATCAGTGCAGCGGACAAGCCGAATAGCTCGTGGATGACTTCAAGCGTTCACATCTAATGATCGGGGGGGGAGAAGGACTGACAGAGGAAACCATACAGTTGTTCCTGTTGTTATGGGGCTACGCCTAACCCCGCGGCATTAGAAGGTAGATCTCCAGCGGGAGCCATATTCTGACATAAAATACGCCGTCAATTTAGGTAAGAAATCTGAATGTGACGCAACGACCACTCGCGTCAGGCATCAGCAGAAGTTTTCTACCAGGTGCGCCGCTGAACGCGTTTGATACAAGGCCAGACCAACGAAGCTGGAAATCTGCAGCGGTACGAAAATGGAAAGCCACTGTGCTGTACGAGGTGTCTGTCGGACCTTTGTGTTTCGTTCGGCACGTTAATAAGTTATACAAACTCCGCATAGAACACACAATCACTTCTATTTCAGACTTGCCGTTTGATGTGCTGCTGGGTACTTTTCCATCATCAAAAGCTGTGGAGCTCAGTTAGCCAACAGAAGTGCGGACGGGGCCATGCCATGGAGTCCTTCGGAGCTACATGCGGACAACGCAGCCGACTCGACATTTACAGCTGAACGCTGCGCTTCATTGCTATGAAGTGGGAGAACAGCGTTTATGCAACGGGGGAGTTGTTAAGTCAGAAGACCTGATGTCTTAAGAGTACAACACTGTCATGCGGCTCTGGTCATGGACTTCACTCTCACTGCTCTAATGTGGTTCATGTGTACGAAATCGCCGGTCACATGTGACTGAAACCTTCATTTGTCCAATGGCAGTCACCCTGTACCTGGCGCTATCTTATTGCACCCATTCCTCCAGACCCCGTTGTTGAACCCACACCCACTTAGGATGCGCCACCTGTACATGCATACCAACTGTTCCCGTCCCTATTTGCCTGCTGTTCCCTTGCCGAACTTATAGTTGAAGCTATTGCATCACAGTCTCCCAGCCGCCCTTGGATTCATGCCCTACTGATCGCTTCTCGGTAATTGCCCATTGCCACACACTGCAGGCCGTCGTTTGGTGATAAGACGGCTCACCTTCCTCCTTTGACCGGTGACATAGAATTGCCACCTTTACTTCGTAAGTGTCATGTCTGATTCAACGTGTACACTTCGCCAGCAACTTCATCCTTCGAGTCAGGACATGCTGCGGACATTTATTTGTGATGGACGTACTATCCCTGCGGCTTACGTTCCTGCTCAACGTGTTGCCAACCTCAGGCCTTTACCCTTGTGTAGCTGGGCTACTGACTGTTTTCTGATCGGTTCGCTGGTGTGACTATGGTTGGCTGTATATGCAGGCGTCGGCGCAGATTCATTGTGCTGACTTTGTGCAGCAGAATCGTTGCGTTATTATTGTGACGGGTAACTGCGTGTACCGATTTGGTAAGGACGTTGTTGCAGTACGTTGTAAGTATGATATTATTTTGTTTGCAAAATGGCATCGTAGTTCAACACTGACTGTGGCTTCTCGATTATCCGGCGGTAGTGTAGCAGTTTCGGTTCGCTGTTGATAGTTGACTCCTTTTCGGAGGTCGCGGATCAGTGTTCTACACGTTGTTCAACTATCCGAAGCGCTTTTGACGCTTACACTGGCTGTAGCAACTGCGATTATAATAAATAGTGACTCGGTTTGGTGCTTCATCACCTTTCTGGATGGTGGCATCGACATCGGCCACTTGAATGTCTGGTAGCCATAAGTTTGTACCATCAATAAGTCAGTACCCGCATTTTATTCGATTTCGCCTCCTGGTTCTTTACACATTTGTCGGACAATTATTCTTTCCCTTGTGAATATCTTTCTGTAGAACAAAGTCGTGCATAAGACCTGTCTTTTTAAAATACTTAAACAGTCCTTACAAGTAGGGCAGCAAACCGTGATAATAACATGGTCTTGTGGATGTCTGAACAGGAATTCTGAAGAGTAATGCCTCTTGGTCCACCTGTTACTTGGAATGGTTCACCTACTGAACGTCAGTTTTCCACTTCACCATGTAGACGCACTGGGGCCACATGCAATACGTCCTAAGGAACGTGGACGAATTAACAGCAGAGATAATTTTACAGGCACGGCGGCATCTGAAAACTAGCTGTTGTTACATTTGTCATTAAGCTGTGGAAGCAAAGCCGAAGTTGTCGACCCAGTCCTAACCAGAAACAATAAGCGATCTGCAGAAAAAGCTAAGGCATTACGATACGGATTATCAACTTGGTGTTGTCACGGACTGCAATGGCAGAGACCTGAAATCGGTGCTTAAAAGACTTCGGTCAATAGACATGCAGGATCGAGGAGGTTATTGTGATGGGTTTGTTTATTCAGGGACGAACTGAACATCACTTTATGGAGCCAGACCAAGCACCAGTCTGAATAGACGCTGGATTTGCATATAAATAACAGGTAATGGGGAAGAGAGCTGCTTAACAGCAGGTGTTTCATGTGGCTTCTGAGCTTGACAAACCGCTCTTGTTGTTTCGGTGAGCTTGAGATGCTCCTGCTTTTTGAATATGCTATCTCTTTATACATGCCAAGTCAAGCAATACAGTCGAAATGATGGCAACACCTGCTGATCTACGGAAATGGTAGGCCATGGAGGCAGGCCGTGTTCGGAGTCACCCGTTGAATGTCGAGAACGAAAGTCGAGTAGTTTTATACCATTCAAAGCTCTCTACTATTACCACGCTGGCTCTGTGTCTAGTTAATAGACTGTTGAGATTACATACTATTACCACGACCCTACACAGTCTGACAACTCAAGGGTGACACGCTTTGTACTTTGATATGTGTTGTATGGGTGGACACTTCGCTTGACTCTGGGGAGATTGTGTGCGGCATCCTCCGCCTATGTCAGATTCGCGTGTAAATGGAGTGTGGGCCAGTTCGAAACCCATCCTGGTCCCAATGTGTGTTTATCGCGATCTTATTACCTAAACTTGAGCAGATGTCGCTAATCATGAAGTTGGTTTTACCATGTTTGCTCACTCTGCACACGCGTCCCGATGCGAAAAGGAAGATTGCCTCGAGAAACGGATCCCACTAAGTAGGCGCAGCTAAAATAGTGACAGATGACTTTACAAAAGCAGAAGCACATTGGATATCCAAACCTCAGTAATTGATGCATGTCGTTTTCCGAGTAAATACAACAGTCGCTCGATGATTTTCTGCCTGGGTCAGATTGTAACGACTATCCTCTAGGGGTTTCCACAAGGACGATTTTATCCGGAGTGAGTTGCGACAACGGCTGGGCCTCAGCGTGACATTAAATTATAAACAGTTATGGTGCACATCAGAACCAATCATAGTGGCGTTGAATAAACTAGAGCAACTTAACAACAAAGGCGTTCAGACCCACGAACCTGCGGCTTCGAGATATAAGTAAACTAGATGGTTTATGTTCTCACAAAGTGTGGTAATACGTTAACGCACTGACAGTAACCGCATTGATCAAACTTACTCGATAGAAATCCTTATCCGTCTCTTCCGGTTCATCTTGTATCACAACGTAGTTAGCTAAACTTCCAAATAATTGCAAAATAAATGGAGCTCGATGCATAACGTAAAACTGGCGACACGTGTATTCAATGGCTTGTGTGAGTACACTATTGTACATCTGTCGATTGTAGACCCGGAGCATCGTTGGTAGAATACCATTATATCCACTTGTGGAGAATGTCATTTTGAACCGGTTGCAACACTAACAAAAAGAAAAACATTTATTCAACGCAAGGTGAATTGGATAGAACTGATACCTGAAGGAGTGAAATAGGAGCTCAGTAGGCTTAAGGGCAGAGAATGCATTCATTTGGGAAATTCAACACGAAACTGCTTGAACTGGGGGATCAAGAAGTTGTTTCAAGCCGTGAGTAAACATTCGCAAGTGAAATAAAGCAAATGGCTCAACTCGTACAATGAAAGCAAAGTTGCACTGGTACCGGCACACAGATACTGATGCTCAGAATGACCCTTTGTTTCGTAGATCTTCCGCTTAATTGATCGAATTAGTCTATGCAGAACTTTATTCGTTTCTTATGTCTTAAATCCACGTCTCATAACTCTACCTTAGCGACACGGGAATGTGAACCTTTTTAACGGATATTCGGGTGGGTCGACCATCGTAACTTAGCACACCAACACACACACATCCCGCCCAAATTCTCAACGCTTGCGATATACCAAGTAAAACATTCCATTGAAACCTAGATGTAATGGGATAGGAAACACCAAGCCGTGTCCAAGTTTATACAATTAGAACTCATAACAGTGAACCATAGTTTGTCACGTCGTCCATACAAATCCACGCTGAGAGCTCCAAGAAGAAGTCAAATTAGTGCAGCGACTTCCTAATGACGAATGGAATTTTCATAGCATTTGTCGTCCTCTTTTTGATAGGTCGAACTGGTATAGCTAGCTAATAACTTGCTGGAATTCATTTGCTCTTCGCAACCATTTACATCCTCCGCGTGGTTAGCAATACGCAGCCAGTGAATAGGAATTAACCCTGGCACTATGTCGAAAGGATTATCCTAAATTCGCTTTTTATTTGTTGGCTTTACAAGCATTAATCCTTTTGTTCTTTCGTCACTTCTTTGTAAGATTTCACCACAAACAACGTATTTGATATTTCTCGCAAATACACTAGTTCTCCATGAACTTCTAAACACTGTGAGAGACACTTAGTGCATATGAGCACATTATAGAGGTAGATGCTTACAAGTCAAACCTGGGGCCATTGCAGGAGTGGAAGTTGGTCAATTTAAAAATATTCCGTTCCCGGAAACGAAGCACTCTACAAACCTCAACCAAAGAGCACATAGATAAGCATTCTATTGTATTCGTGATGTGACACCTAACTGCATAACCACAGTCGATGGGTAAGGGCTTTAGGTCATTTTTAGATAGATTTTATTGTGCTCAGTTTTAACTAGGCCTCCGGTGCAGCGAACTTGAAGTTTCCGATCACCATGCTTGTAGTGGGATATATTTCGCCTTGCTGAAGTATAAGGCATTTACAATGGTCAACCGGCAACTACCCCAAGCCTCTGCGTAAGGATGTGCTCATCGTTTAACTAAATACATATATGGCAAACATACGACAGTCAGAAAGCCGAATATAAAGTTTATAAATGTAGCATTTTACGGCCGTTCCAACCGTACGGGAATCGTCAGCAGTGCGCATTCCATCTAACGTTTGTAGAGCTCGAACCCACAACTCGGCTGTTGCTAGTTGAAATCCCTGAGCTACGGGGGACGCAACGACCGTCGTAAGTAAGTTACTCAATGTGATATAGTGCCACTCACTATTCACTGTGTTACACATAACTGCTTTGCAGAGCACAGAGTAGCCCCTCCTCCACCAAAGGACGAATTTGCCAAACATAAGTCATCAATTAACTTATGACATTATGAGCAGTTTGTTCTGCGCACTGATTACAAAGGGATAGCAGGGTGGTATAGGTGACGATTCATTAGCTCGAGACTCAATACCGTGCAAGTCAGCGTGATGGCAGTCAGACTGAGCCAGAGATTGAACTCAGTGGGATGTCAGTCATTCGAAATGCTCATCCATCTTGCGGTCGCGGTGCTGCCAGTTACCATCGAGATTACCTTAAAGATGGGGCCATTACCGAACATTCCCTTGTTATTCCTGAAGCGTTATTTTGACGACCGCAGCTAACAAGCCGGGATGGTGGAACACAGAAGTAGCTGGGGGATTCGTGCCTCTTAACAAATGTCTACGGGACACCGAACTTCCCTGCAGATATGGATGACATTCTGTCAGATGCACTTCACTATGCAGTTACAAAGAATACTCTACCTTAAAATGGGCGATTTCAACGTACCTTCAATTGTTTCAGTGTCCCCTAATGAGCCATCATTTAAATAAGAACTCCTTAAATTTATGGATGTGGCAGTTTTGCATCACCATGTGCCTCGACCAACCAGACACTGCGGTTCAAACAAGCCATCATTACCGGACCTAATCCTGACAAATGAAGAGTTGATGGTTGCGTCAGTCGCACACAACTCTCTCTAGGCAGTAGCGACCATTCAGTCCTAACATTTGGTTATGTGTGTTATGTCAGTATGGTCGCTAAAGAACACGAAACCCAACGAAATATTCCTGACTATTCCATGCTACACAATCTAGCGACAACCGTTTACCGGTGGCCTAAAGATTCACAGTTTGGCGAACGACGCCTGGAATGAATTGAAAGGCAAAGTTAAATGGGCCATACAAGCAGCCTAAAAGTTGTACCATTAAGAGTATTACGCCGGACCAACAGTAGGATCCAAAGCAGAATACGTAAATGGATCGACAAAAGAGAAGAGAATTGGAAGCAACATACACTAAACCCATGTGATACCACATGGCAAAAGTACAAAACAATCAGAAACTTCTGCACGTCACTTATTAGAGCAGACAAGTACCTATGGCAAGAGACCATGGTACTCAAGTTTGAGAGTAACAACAGCTTGCTATACAGGTATATGAACGATAAAAGAAATGTGAAACCTGGAATGCAACCATTTAAGACGGTTAGTGACTTAACGACTACCGCTGTGCATAATGCGAATGCTCTACTCCTACAGTTTGGCTCAGTGGCTACAAATACCATGGAATCTTTTTATCAACTCCCAACAAATGCCGTTAGCTTATCTAATGTCACCTTTATTCCACTGGCTGTCGTAAACAAAATACAGTCTCTCCGGGAAAACGGTGCACGGGGAATCGACAAGATCTGTCCAAAAGTACTTAAAACTCTTACCCCCAACATAGCAGTACATCTTGCAGCGCTTTTTGCAGGGTCTGTTTGACTCCCATACACTTCCATCTGAGTGGAAACGTGGAATCATCACTCCGATATACAAAAGAGTTTAGAGATCGGATCTTGCCAACTACCGACCAATTACTCTCTTAAATGTTTTAGCAAAAGTGATGGAATCGGTAAGCACAGATGAACTGACGCGATATTTTGAAAGTGTGCAAATAATTTCCAATGTCCAACACGGTTTCAGACGCAGACGCTCTTGCCTCATCCACCTGCCTCTTGCCCGAGATTCATGGACCAGAGCAGCTGATGAAGGAGTCCCCATAAATGTGACTTACTTAGATTTTCTAGGGTATTCCACAGGCTAAATCACTTTGTTCTCTTGAAATAGCTAACTTCCTACGGTGACAACGGTTCCCTACTCACTTGGTTGGAATATTAATTACAAGACAGGACCACCAATGTAGGAATAGCCAACAATCACTCCGAAAGCCTGTGTGCATCCAGTGGTGTACCGCAAGGTTCCGTCCTCTGTCCACTACTGTTTTTAGTTTACATAAATGACCTCCCAGAAAACATTTTATCCCTGATGCAGATATTTGCAGATGATGCTAAAATATGGAGAGCAATTTGCTAAGCATCCGACCGTGCTTATCTACAGAACGATCTGGATCGGATTAACGAATGGGCAGAAAGGAACCAGCTCCCACTGTATCCTGTAAAGTCCAACTGCTGACGGTGCATAGCAGCTTCAGTAACACATATCTTCTGGGACACCAAGTTTTTCAACAGATGATCATTGAAGGAGACTTAGGTATCATCGCTTAAGGAAGTCTTGGTAATTTGCTTCAATGCTCGAAAGCAGTGAATGTAGCGAACTTGAACTTGAAACTTTTGAGGAGAGATTTCGGCACCTTTGAGCGACGGCTAGTACCACTGCAGATCAACACATATCTTGCTCCCCATGTTGAATATGCCGTTCACGCCTGCCGCCCATGGCTAAAACGTGATATTCTTAGCTTGGAGCAACTCCAAAGAAGGGCTACCAAGGCAACGCGCGGAATATCCGGTCTCAGTTACAAACTGCGTCTTCGTTTGCTTGGTGTCATCTCCTCAGAATACCGACGGCTTCGCGAGGATCTCGTCCTCACATACCGGATGCTGACGGAAAGCGAGCACTCATGAGCGTCACTGGTGAACTTAGACCCTTACAAACAATGTCGAGGTCATCAACTGAAACGAATAATGTGACAGTCCCGTTTAGATTGTAGGAAGTATTTTTACTATCTTAGAATCAGTTCACATTAAAATGAAGTACCAACATGTTATGGACATACCAGACATCGCGACATTTGTGAGACGGCCAGACATTCATCTTAGTGCTAAATGTTACACAACAGTGTGATAAAGTGCGACGACTTCACTACTGATAATTCACGTTCCACGTTGAAAAAATTTTGACTTTAATTCTCTGGTGCATCCTCCATTCTGTGGGTCTCGTAAAGTTATGCATTTTATACCACCATGTACTATTGAACTATTCCATTAAACTCTATCACCATATATATATATATATATATATATATATATATATATATATAAAAGCTTGGCGGCACTCGGTTTCGGATTTGCCTGTCACTGTGGCCAGCCACAGGACGCCTACGCCTACAGAGGGACCATGGGTGGCTTGCGCTGCAACACCCACAGCTCCATCCACACACGCCATCTCCAGTGTAAGCCCGAAGGTATAAGACCAGGAGGTATGTGGATGGGAGCCACCTTTTATCAACGGAGCCGGCCCACACTCCTTCACATGCATGCTGTATTTGGGAATCAAGAGCACACAAGGCGGTGGCTGGACCGTAGTCCGCTCCACACTGACTGCATGGAACCACTCTTCGAGCCTAGCACGGCCACAAGAACCGTGCACCCCGTCCCCTCCAGCAACGATCAACTGTCTCTTAGAGCCAGTATGGATGAGGTAGTGGGTAATAGACAGGTAGGCACCTTGTCAACATGCACATCAAGCGCAGCCACACCGGGGATGCCAAACAACAGCCAATCGCTTGTAATGACAGTAACAAATAAAATATATCTGTTAAAGAATACGGCTGTGCAGACATAACTCTTTTCTAAATTAGCATTTGAAGTATGTTGGTTAGCAACGAATCCGCGATAAGTAAACAATGTCCAGAAGTGACTCAGAAAATGCCACACACGCAATTAAGTTAACGAAAATAACCACAATTCCTGTAAGCAACGTGCCCAATTAATAGAAGGTTATTCTGCTAGGCAGAGCAAATCAAATAAATTAGAATGAAATTTATCCAGCTTAATAAGAAGTAGTTTAAGTGTAAGTTGGTTTAGCCCAACTGCGGTGAAGAAGCATCATGAATGCAACATCAGCCTCCGCATGGGGTAATATAAATGGACTTCAATCATTTCTCTTGAGTGGTGATCATGATAGCCACTGCGGCCGATGCGGTCCTCATGACAACAAATATAACCTATGCGACCCTAGATGGGACCGCAGCATAACATGCCTGAATGAGTATAGATTATATGCACAGAGTGTTTATCACATTAGGAGCGCTTGAGAACAAATTTTTGCATGTACTTTAAAGGTCCCAGATAGGAATGAACCCGTTGGGGAGTGTATGACGGCAGCGGTACAGCTAGATCAGCTTTCCTGGCGGGACATCGAATACGATCAATTCAATTCAAATAAAGTTCCCTCTTTACCGTGGTTTACACACCTGGATAAAAAAAGCCAGACACTGACGTAGCACAGAGGAATCTTCCGCGTGCAGTATGAGGGTACCATTAAACACATTGAGGAACAACTGAAGATCATTGGACCAAGGGTAGGTAATTGGCATTTGAGTGAATAGCGAATGTAGTAAACGACACCAGGACAACTTGTGCATTGTATCCAAGCCATGCAGTGGACGACCCAAAGATGCCAAATCGTAGAGTGGAAATTCCGACTCGAGAGCTTTGCGCGGAAAAGCTGGTAGCTTCGTGAGTTCTTCAAGCAGGAAAAACACGTGATTGGATATCTGAAGAGGTAAAGAAAAGCAGAAGAATTCCCTGCACCACGGCACAGCTCTTGTTTTATGTATACTAATGAGATAATCGCACTTCAATCGTTTTTACAAGTCCATTACTTGTACCATTCAGACCACAGAAATGTGGGTCACTTCTGTTCGTCGCTGGAACCAGCAAGTTTACATAGGAAGGGACAACCGTGCTAATATTGGTCTGTTGGGCGACTGCAATTATGTGGCATATATTGGTCAAGTTGTTGGTGGATATGAATGAACTGCCTTCAGTTCACTGTATAGATGAGTCGCTGGTAATTTAGCTGATTTGGGAAACCAACTATGGGCTAACAAATTGTCGCCATCCACTTTGTTCTGACTCCACAGATCGCACGGATTCTTGTATTTTAGCTACACATCCACCTGATAGGTTTGCAGGGCTTTAAAAATCGGCCGCTGCTGTTCTCGTTAGAATATTACTCTGTACTATGAACGGCGGATTTTATAATTTAGTTGTATTTTTGAGACAATTTATTTTTCTGAACTAGGTTCAAAGTCAGTCAGGTCCTAGTTCGTCAATTTTTGAAAACGTTACTGTTTACTGCCACAAATCCATGCTTTATTATGACTAAGTCAGAGACTCCTTCAGACGAATTCTGAAGAAATATCATGGAAAAGAACGACATCATCGTGCCGACTTGGCAAGCTGGTCTCAGTCGCTATATTGTCCATAAAGCGCAAATCACAGGTAATTTACAGCATTGCGCAATCGGTTCTTGTTAATAACATCGGTAATCTCAGTGCTATTATAGAGAAAATGAGTATGTAAATACAGGAATCATTCTGTCACAAGAAGGCTGGTTGTATAGTGTAGTAGAACATGGGTTATCCAAATCGATGGTTATTTCACAAGCAGATAGGAGTGTTGCTGCAGGACCACCAGCCACTTGCAGACCTCTTGACCTTTGATAACGAGGAACTCGAGCTGGTCGATTGATTCACTTAGCTTGGAAGCTGTGTCAGCAACAGTGGGTGCATAGCAACCGAAGTCAGTTTACGCAGTGCATAAGCCAGGACTGCCTTCTTGAACCTGCAGCATCATTGGCGACAGAAGAGAGTTTCACTCCGTCTGAAAGACCGTGTTTATAAGGCCACAGAGAGGGCCGTCCTACTCTATGGGAGTGATATTTAGCCTCTTCGGTCTGAAGATCTGAGGTGCCTTCAAGTCTTCCATCATCGTTGTCTGCGAGGCATTAATGCTGTCGGGTGGCACCAGCGTGTCCGCAATGATGATTTGCGTAGCCGAGTACTAGGCACTGATAACCGAGATAGTTCCTTGGAACAACAGATAGCACTGAAGAAGTTGCGTTGGCTTGGGCACATACTACGTATGCCTGGTCACTGCTTACCTATGAGGGCATTGTTTAGTCTGCCTGATATAGGGTGGCCCAATGATCGAGGTGGACAAAAGTTGACTTGGCATCGTGAAATGAAGTCAATGACGGTCAACCTGGGTACCGTCGGTCCGTCTCGCCTTCCGGGCTGGAGTTCACGTGCTTGGATTGAGACTTTACAGGACATGTCGCGCAGTTGACAATAGTGGCGCGTCTGTTGCCGTCTCCTAGTCGGACTGCCTGTTTAAAGTGTGTTTGGTGCCGAATTATCTGACGGGTAATGGCTGATTATAACGCTGGGCAGTGAAAGCTGCAAAGAAGCTCTCTCACTGATGCCGCCTTATCTTTGCACGGTAACTAGCTATTTGTGACGGTATGTTGGTAACACAAGGTGTAGACGCCTTGAAACTTGAATGTATGTTTAGGCTATTAAAATTTTCAGCTAAGTCCTCCTTCTCTCCCTATTATTATACTTTATTCCTTAGGTCACCATGATTGTATGGCAACCAAGCATCAGTTCAAATGGCTGATGTACTGCTGTTGTTGATGGTGATTGATGATGAATCACCCTCACATGTCCTCCTTCATTAGCTCAAGTCTAGCTGCATCATTTATCAAAGCAATGTTTACAAGGAACTCAAAAGATTAAAGTCAAACAAATCTAGTGGTCCGGATGCGCTTTCACCATTAATTTAGAAAATCTCACGCTACCTTTCACAGATCCATTTAACAAATGTCTCAATATGGGTATGAACCGGGACATTTGGAGATCGGCCAGAATAAATCCAGTACCCAAAAATGGATCCTAGCACTATCATCCGATTGCGTGCACATCTGCGCTTCTAAAGTTTTTGTAAAACTGTCAATTCCGCGGGTTTTTACAGTTACTCCTGCGGACTATATCTATCAGTCTGCATATAGCTCCCAGCACCCTACATTGAACGCAATGGCGTATCTTGTTCATTCTACAGCATCTGCATTAGATCAAAAATGTAAATCCGTACGCGTTCTCTTGCTGGATTATTCGAATGCGTTTGGAAGTCTGGGTAAGTCAGTGTTGCTTAGTTTGTTATCGAGAATGGAGTTCACCTAGGTGTGTGTAATCTGTTGCGTGACTGTTTTACAGATCGTAATCACTGCACCAAGTTAAACGGTAAGAAGTCCGCTGTCCTCCGTGTCGACCGTGGTGTTCTGCATGGAGCGATCCTATCTCTTTAACTATTTTCGTTGTATGTCGTACGCCTTCCTATACACACCACAACAGATGTAGATATACTGACGACGTTGTGTTGGTATGTATGGTCCGCACTATTCAGGATGCCTTATCACTTGAATGTGAATTGGAAAATATGGTATGGCGGTCTTTATCCAGATCCCTTATACTTAACGCTTCTGATGCAATGCTGCAATATTTTCTTTTCTTCGTGGTGCTAAAGTATTTCCCACACTTACTGGCTGGTTGAACAAGCTCCATGTGGTGCCAGCTGGTTGGTTCGGGTTAATCCCGGTCCTGCTAATAGTTCAGCGGCAGTGTTCCAGGAAGTGGTGGATTTGCTCTTGACAAGCGTTCTCCCTACAAAATCCACAAATGTCTGCTTAACAACGCTGTGACGTGGCGGACATGATTCACCAGTAAAGTACGTCACTGCGTTGTCATACCGGAGGACCATACCCAATTGTTGAACGCCAGTAACTTCAAAGATTTCATCTGCTTCCTTCCGATATTGGCGAGTTCCCCGAACAAACTCACAAATGCACAGTAATAGTAACAACTTCACACAACGCGATGACTTACACAAGAACCCACATACATAATACACATATAGACACACACATACAGTATGTATTGGTTAACTTGTAACATTTCTGTACCATTACTGATGTTACTCATTTGTATTACCACGAACGTGCCTTTGAAGGCGTGTCGCTCACCGTCCAGAATAAATCATTAATTGAGTTATTTAATCTGTCATACTCAACTCATCCACCGTCAAGTACGTCGGCTTCCTTTTGTCTTTAGAAGCTTTCTTGGTCCACACGTATCTATGAAACCACCCATAAAATCAGAAAAATTTCGTTTATGTCTTTAGACTTAAGATGCTTTCAGTACCCATTACTTTATTATTAAATTTTGTGGCCTTTTGCATTAGCCTATTTATATACTTCTCCCACGCCATCTTCCCCTACTACAGAATGATTACATTTTCTTGTCATGATCGAAGAGACAAATTTTAGACACAGCGGCTTGTCTATGGATTCTTTCGTTGAGTTGAGCATTTCCAGACATCGTGATGCCTTCATGAATTTTTATTCTAAAGCACCTAATGCGCAGTTTCATCCACATCACAGTGATGTCTCAAAAATGTGCTCTTCTACGCAGTGGCGCAGCAACGACTTTCGTCGCTCTGGCCGGTGGCAAAATTTCTCCTTTGATTGAGGGCAAAATAGGCGCGTGAAGGCCACAGAATCGGCTCAGGGTAAAGTGCACATTAGCATTCGATGTAATGGATGATGGTTTGGTACACAGGTAAATGTGTGGAAAGTGGTCACAATGGGACAAGTAGGGGAATCGCTGGGGAAAACCTTTGCAAAGGTGTGACGCATGGCGCAAATGTGTTGCCGGTCGTACAGAGAAATATTAAGACCTTTAACTTTACTCTCATCCGAGTATGTTACCCTTTATATTTAGTAACGAGCAATCGATGGAACTAAAATTGCCGCTTCTTTCACAAGTACCATGGGGCGGAGCGCCCACCGATGCTACGGATCCATTTTTGAAGATTTTAAATTCAAAAGTCAATTCTCCCGCAATTAATCGTATAGTAATACTGTCTTGCATATTCTATCACTTCTGCAAGTTGTTAAAGGTCACAGAAGCTTTGCAAAGTTCATCAATTAAAGCACCTGGAGCAGCAAGCGTACCGACGATGGTACAGAAGCGTAACTTGACTGCTGCTTTAAGTGACTCTGACGTAAGTCTAAACCAATGTTGGGACACACCCTGGCCGAATCAAGTATCAGATGAGTTATCATTATCCCATCAAAAATACGAGTAACTGACGACCGATAAGAGGTCGGCATTCTCCCCAATTGAACCGTTCACCCCTCTGTGGGCTCCTAGATATCGAGAAACTAGCCTGCTTGCATACAAATGCTCAGGGACTTTTTAATAAAATGGCCGAATTGAAACTTCGCCAAGCTTCCGGCTCATATGATGTCATTGGTATCATCGAGACGTGGTTTCACACCGGAATGACGGACGCTGAAGCTTCTCTACCACGCATGTCGCTGATTCGGAAAGACAGGCTCACAAAAGGAGGATGGGTAATCCTGTATTACCGAAGCGACTTAAAGTGCGAAGCCGTGAAGGATTCAGAATCGCAGTTCCACGACTCGCTTTGGTGTTGCTTGCAGTTAAAAGACAGGGACGTTTACCTTATTGTATTGGTGTACCGCCTCCTAACTCTACACTCGAAAACGACTACCATATAGCAGCTGCTTCAAGAAGCAATTTACAACGAAAGTACACTCACATAATTATCATAGGTGATTTCAACGTACATTGTGTAGAAACCCCTGTCACGATCGGAGAACAATTCAAAGCCAATCTACAAGATCTCGCAAACACTGTTCCTCTTTACAATCACATCACTTTGTCCACTCGGTTCAGAACAGGTAACAGGCCATCTGTGCTGGATCTTGTGCTTACCAACGAGGAGCATATGATTGATGTGTGGGTTGTAGACCACCCGTTGAGTCGCAGTGATCAGTTTCAATTTCGTCTGTTATGCAGAATATCGGAATGAGATCGACGAGACGGTGCGAACCATCACAAGCTACGATCGATTAGTCCAGCTTGTCGGAGCCACAACTTGTTCAATCGTTGGCAAAATCCCCCAGAAGTCGCCTGGCTCGAGTTAGTCAACAAATTCAGTCAGCTGACTGCAGAGGCTATGGAGACAAAGGTTTGCAATAAGTGCAAATCAGTTTCTTCCGTTAGGAGCGGAACTCGAAAATGGATGGCAGTACGCAACGCATCATGGCGAGTGCACAGAGAAGCTCCAGCAACAGAAACTTTGAACGACTACGTCGCCCAACCTAACCACTGCACACAACTACTAAGAGAAGACAAAGCCGCCACTCAGCACAACTTCACAAAAACCTTCAGTGCTAACCACAAACTGCTGTACAAGCACCTCAATAGGCTAAGAAAGGTGAGGCAAGGATTTCCTCCACTCAGGACGGCTGATGACCCAACAAGAACTGCTGTGGAAGCAGCAAATGCGCGGCGGATACAATATGCCATCACGTGTCAACCGGTCTTGCCAAATAGGGATTTACCAATTTGTCGTCTCCTCGGCAGGATAACCCCACATCACTTTTGCCGCAGAGGCTGCGTTGCAAAAGCTGACGCCTCTATGCAAACACAGCTCGCCGGGTGTCGACACCATATGTCCAGAGGCACTGGAAGCAGCAGCAAGCTAACTGACACTACATTTAGCTCAGTTTTTCCAGTGCTGCTTAGATCAGAACCAAGTTCCCGCCATGTGGAAGCTTGATATAATAACCCCGATTCACAAGGGTGGAAGCAATACTGATCCCTCCAACTACCGCCCAGTATCCCTTCTTTCTACACTCTCCAAGGACATGGAATCTACACTTGCCGCTGCACTGGTGTGCTACCTGGAAAATTGTAACATCCTCACGCCAGAGCAGCACGGTTTCCGTCGACAGCGGTCATGTACAACGAATTCACTAATCGCACGCAGGAGTTGGACCGAAGCAGCTGACCCTGCAGAAGGCTTGATGTGATGTACCCGGAGTTTTTCAAGGCTTTTGATCGTCTAAACCATCGCATACTACTCTCCAAGTTCCAGCATTACGGGATCGGAGACCCTCTTTCAAGCTGGATGGCCTACTTTCTGCCTCGACGGCGATTAGTGGTCAGAGTTCGGAGCTTTTTATCGGACCCCATACAAGTCGAGTGATTAGTGCCGCAAGGATCAGTTCTTGGTACACGTTTGTTTATGGTGTTTATTAATGACCTTGCACAAGGAATCGCTTCAAACTTCCTAAGGTTTACCAACGATATCAAAATCTGGCGCAGGATCCAGGGGAACGCCGACTAACCTGTGGTTCAGAGTGACCATCAGTGGTCAAACCAAAACTTACTGCAATTCATTGCCAGTAAATGCAAGGTGATTTCCATCCGACATCAGAGCAGCTACTCATACCGGCTCGGAACGAATATACTACGACCATCAACTCTCGAACCTGACTTGGGTGTCCTGGTTCAAGATGACTTGGGTCGCTCCAGGCAATGCGAAAATGCCTCGAAGACTGGAAACCAACACGTCCGGCTGTTGCGACGGAGATTTGGACAATTAAACAGCTCCATATCTCGACAAATGCTCAGTGCGTATGTTCGCCCCCCATGTAGAATACGCAATTCAAGCCTGGCATCCATTGCTGAAACACGACCTTAATGCACTGAAGCAGCCACAACGTCTGGCCTCTAAGAACGTACTTGGAATGCGCAATATTTCATACCAAGAGAGACTGCAACGATTGGGGGTATTCAGTGGAAGCTATCGCAGACTACTAATCGATCTGATTATGGCATGACCCACATCATGTGTGTCGCCCGTGACTGCAACTCGATTGCAGTACAAACCTATGGGGCCACTCATGGAAACACGCTGTACAATATAGCCGCCTGGAGTGCCGCAGAGATTTCTTTTCTCTTCGTGTCTGTCACTCGTGGAGTGCTCTCCCAAAATCGGTCGTCACCGCACCGACATTAACAGTATTTAAAAGACGGTTGGATGATGCACTCATCCACTTACACTTTGTCACTTAACACTACGTCTCCATCCTACACCTGGAGTTTACCATGGAATTATTTGATGTTAATTGCGGGTGCTGTGATTCTAAGCGGATCGCAGGACTACGGCGGAGCAAACAATAGGTCCTTAGTTTCATATTTAAAGTAGTAACTGTTTTACTATCATGATTATCATTATCGTTATGTCGATATTCCCACTAACTATCCAACGGGACTTGTGTAGCAAAGCTTCTTAACCTGTATAAATTCATTGTTCATTGTTCATTGAAAGTCGTAATCATGCTAAGCAAGTGCTTGTCGGAATGACAGTTGTGCGTATGCTCCATTTTCTTCCCACTTATATATATATAGTATCTCCCGACTTATGTACAGAGTATTGTTATTATCATCCTTGATGTCCGTGGTGATGGTGTAACTGTTGAAAATGAACTAAATAGTGTTTGTAAAGCTTATTTTGCATACACTTGCATCGAGATGAGTATTGTTTGGCGTATCATTTGGTTTCAGTTACTCTTGCTTGGCGAAACAGATACATCTCACTACCGACAAGGTAGTGTTTCACTTACTTCGACCATCTGATGAAGTCACCCACTGTTAGCACTATATCTACACTCATCTCGAATGCGTCTCCCTCCATTTTTCATTACAAGTGGCACCCGCAAAAGTCCGCGTCACGCAATCGTCCCATTATCACATTTATACACCCATAAAATAAGGCGAGTTTTGGACTGTATGGAATGGGTTCACGGAAACTTTAGGCCACAAGCCCCCATGTATCTTGCTTTGAAAAGGAGGATCTCATGAACACATTAAGGACAGACGTTCAACAAAGCTACTTTGGCAAGGGCCGTTGGCGCCTGACCATCCGGAAACGTCAAAGGGAATCATTGGTGTTTGCGCTCGAATGAATTAGAAGCAAACGAATAACGAATTGGAGGTGTTGGATGTGCCAACCCGTGGTACAGCAGCGCGGAGTTATATACTACTTGATTGTTGGTTTACTTGACTTTACTCATTGACTCAACTGTCATTGAAGGAGTGGTACCTATGACAACACTGGTTTACACTCACCTGAGAATTGGGAGTGTTGCGTAACACAGCTGTTGTGAACAAAACCTTTCCAATTTCCTGTAGCTTTAGTGTTTGCGCATTATGTTGCAAGAGGCGAAGTCCTTCGTGTCTATTCATTTGACGGAGCCTCAGCTTTGGGTTGTGATTACGCTTGAATGGATAGAAGTCCCGGACGTAATGTGATGGGTTTCGTATAATATCTGTTTACAAGTGTATAAAAATCAGAGTGTATAGTAGGAAACTTTGTGCAGATCAAGTGATGCGAGTTAAACTATCGGTAGATTTATATGTTCTTCATACGAAGGAGGTCAGGGCCACTTAAACAGCGATTGGTGGAAGCTTTTTCTGTTCTACAATATATCTTATAAGGCAACGAAATAACGGAGCGGTTGTGCTGTGGTGGTAGGTAACTGTGGAAATCAAACCGGTGCTCCACACCCAAGGTGCTCCAAAAGAACAGTTCGCATGTTAATTTGAGAATTACGGTTAAGAGGCTGGACGCGGTCCCCGCTGGGGAAGCTCGGCTGGTAAGAGAAGGAAGCCCACAAAAGATATGCACCGTTTTATAAAAGGTCCAACTTCTAATACTGTTCAGGATGTGATCCATGATGTGATCCACTAATTGATCTTTTCAGATTGTTTGGCTACGTAACTGGAAGTTGCTAGCAGAATCAGGTTGAACACTAATGCCCGACGCCAGTCGGTCATTTTTACAAGTCAACTTAAGTTTTATCCTCCCCTATGGGTGCTTAATTAGCATTTTCACACTAACACTGTGGAATATTACGCAAAAAAGAAGCAACGAGGGATGACAACTGACAACAATAAACAAAAATTTCCATCTTCAATCAAACATACGGTTACGAAAACAGCGTTTCACTCCTGTTGGGTCAATTAGTAAACGGAATAGAAAAGGCAGGATAGAGTTTCGATGCGAAGAAGTACGAGAATACAAAGTCTAAATTTTGTCCCTGTGAGCGAAGTACATATAGTGCTGGCTAACATATCGTGTAAAGAGTGTGAGCGGTCATTTAAAATATTGTTTGAAAAGTTGATGCATGCGTCCAAATGTTTGTTAACAATGAAATCTATTAGCGTTTCTTTCCCTAAACCAGAGAAGCTAGAAATAAATGTTGGCGAACGGACAAGAAAGACGTAATCTTTTTGAAACCGTCCTGGGAAATGAATCGGGGAATAGTATAACCAGTAAGGGAGGATATATGCAACCACAAAACGTAGAATTAAAGCACGGAGAACGGAAAGCATTTTAAGTCTGAGGGCGTAAGAAGAGAGCCTTCTAAATATTTTAAATTACAGTGCGTCCGGGAAATATTTACCGATTGTGATGGACACACCCAAAATTGCCACATATTGCGCGCCCAGAGAAAACCCCAAGGAATTCTACCGGCAGCCTGGAGATCCAAGTGGATCTGACACGATGCACCGATGCACACAATCGAGGCTCAGTATACCGCAAATTCCGCGGTACCGCATGTTACTCCGCAACGAGGCGCAGACTATCCACCTGTGAACGAGCGATATATCCTGGCCTGTGTTTGAGGTCAAATGCTTTGTGGAAAACTGGATACCTGTGGGCTCTGTACTGACCGATGTTTAGCCGTAGCACCGAACTTACCGTTACGTACTGGATCTACTGTGGTAAACGAAAATGGACATCGCGTTGGCGGACGAATCTACACGTGGTGCAAAACTGCTGCTATTTCATCGCAGATATGTTCCCATTAACGTAGACAGACTGACGTACACGTGAGAAATAAGTTTTCCATGTGTCCGTATTTGTATCAAAGGTAATGTCGAAACACAGTTACCTTGAGCACGCCCGTAGACTGAAAACTAGCTTCCAAAGAAACACTGTGAGAAAAAAGCACCAGTTTCAACTAGACCATTCACATTAGGAGTAATAACGATTTGGTAGGATTTTGTTTTCCTGTTAAATGAGCCAAGTTCTATATGGAATTTATCTAACCTTAAATAACCTACGAGACTTAAAGATTACCCGGTTGTTTCAGTTCAGTTTAGTGTAGTTGATAAAGCATGATCCGGGCACTAAAGTGCTGTGGATGCAGTTGGCACGAATCGCGTCGTTAGATTGGCAAAATGAAGAATGATAAGTAAGTGCGGTTAGACTTAACTATGCTATTAGCAGAATGGAAGTAAGAAGGAGGTGCATGAAGCTAATGGCATTGAAGTATGAACAGTTAAACGCAAGAGAATGAATTTTAGGGGCAACACTGACTCCAACCATGCGCCACGTCCGATAAAGTCTCTAACCTTTGATTTGGACTAGCACTAGGCCCCCATTCACGAAGACGGCAAGTACCTGCCTGACCAAGTATCTCGGTCAATTTCTTCATACCCCTATGCCATGTCATCGATTGACCACCTCGTGGTTTCGTCCAACTTGGTGCAGCGTCGGCGTATAATGCTCGCCGAGGAAGGCGGTTAACTGGTGTACGGAGTACATGACCTAACCAACGTTAGCGATTCAACTTCAACAAACACTGAAGTGAAGCACCAGAGGGTTCCTTGCCAAAACCAACTGGCGGACCTCAGCATTGCTCACCCTGTGTTTCGACCAGATCGAATCACGGAAATGGTGAGCTGACAAAAGAATTGTCTCCACTTTGTCTGCAAACTGAAGTGCACTTGAGGTAATCTTGGTCACCCATAGAGAGCTGTTAGCATGGTGGACAATGAGAACCACTTTGGCCGGTTTAGGTGGGATTCCCATTTCCTGACATATATGTTCCCACTGTTTCAGATGGCCTGATAACAGAAGCCTGTTCTATAATACTGAATTCGGCCATAAACCGACACTTCCAATCGCAGACACAGTCAGTTACTCCCTGGTGTAGCGCAGTAAATGGGCATAGTTTACGCGTTACTTTGTGGTTACCGAATACAACAATAATGACCGTGTATCCCGTAGGCGACGATGGCCGTGGAAATGAGACAAGATTATGCCTGCGCCACACATCGTGCCGCTCAACACGCGGCAGATAACGTCGGTATGCAGATCACGTAAAGCGGAATGTTTCAACGCAAAAAATTTGCGTGGTTTATCTTATCGTAAAGCATAAAATCACCCAAGATACACTCCAACGATCTCACGTTGCCGTGACGATAACCACATGCACAATACGGAATAGAAAGCCAATTCAGATACATCAACCAAGTTTATCGCTTTGCCAACATCAACAGAGAAAAGCAACCTTTAGCCATTATCGTATAGTGATCGCTGCAAGTTTAATGGAGACCTAATCGTAAAATATCGAATTCGCTTGGAAGAAAAGGATTTCCATACCATGAGAATACTGAATAATATAGGAAAGTAATGAAAAACTGCTTCCTGTGCAGCTGCATGTTGGTGAAGTTTCTCGATATTTAATGTCGGTAAAGTTGTCAAGGAACTTCCTGAATTCCCACACCTAATTTACCTTCCGTGGCAAATTGTTCCGCACATTCAGTACTATCCGTTCGAAGCATAGTTGGAGAACGACTCGCTTCAAATCCGCTATTACAAGCTTGAACCGGTGTCCATTTGCTGCTTGGTGTACGCTTGATGCGCAAAGAACTCAACAAAGTCACTAGCTCGTCTAACCCTCGGTGCAGTTCCAAATAGTCCTCGAAGATGGGTGTTAAACCACCAAGGAGAACCACATCAGCGTATCTACAGCCAATGAAGTATGATGGAATAAGGAGACCTTCAACGTAGGTGGAGAATACAAAGGGGGATAGGATGGCCCCCTGCAAAACACAAAAATTGGCCGGGAGTACAAAGGACTTCCTGCCGCACAGCTGCGTGAAGTGGGCTCGATTTGTGAAGTAATCATGCAACTCGCTACACACTTATGGAGGCAGAGCATTTTCGGACAAACTGTTGAGCAGTAATGATCTGTTAAAGCTTTCAAAAGCATTGGTGTATTCGAGAAACATGAGCCTTACGCTCTTGCATTTATTATCCAACTCGAAGCAATGGAATGTACTAGACAAGAAACAGCATCCAGTGCAGAGCACCCTGATTTATAAGAAAACTGTTTGAAATCATCAGTATGCCTATGTTTGAAATTGCGTGGGATCAGTGGTTTGTTCACTATCTTTAGCAACACGGACGTGCAAGCTATTATCGACAGTTCCGAGATCCTTTTTATTTATGTTTTTTACAGAAAGGATGCAGCAATTTGTCTAAATAGTGCAAAAATTTTCTCCCACGAATCGCTAACTTACCTTTATCGAATTCTCTATGAAAGAGCTGCTATGTGTGCCCTGATAGGACTTACTCCAATCAATTTACGACGTAATAGAGTTGTTTACTGGGAAAAACAAATCTAATGGACGTTCAGGAACCACGAGGGAAGGTCTTACATGCCCACTTGCTTTAAACCGGTGCGTTCTACTAATCTAACCACTGTATTGAAAAGAGCAGTTCGTCTTAACTCACTGGATTTGTCGTCAAACAAAAAATAATTGTGGCTTTGATCTGTTGATACGCCAGCGATTTCCAGTACATCCTTCAAAATGTCCTCAAATTGATAATCCTAGAATGGAATAAAGGAGGATTTTAAAGAGGAACATCTAGAGTTGTGAGTGTGGAAATAGCATGCTCCTAAGATTGAGGACTAAGCAAAGCATGATAAAATATTACATCTCTGAAAAGCAAAGAAGCAACTGTGCGTCAACCACAAACCTTGGATTCGTCCTGTAAACGAACAAGCTGCGCCACACCAATATCGTTGTCAAACACGTTGAACTGTTTCGCACTGGGCAGGTTGGCTGTGAGCAACAGGGTGGACTGCGTGGTATGAAAAAAAGAGCATGCTAAATTTAATCATCCTTAGACAGTGAAGCAGTCGGGGTAAACAAATAAGGATATTGTCTAGTGTGAACAGGTGTAGGCTGGTATGACGAATCGTCACAACAGCTGCTGGGAAAGTGACTACTGGACATATATTTTTGTGACAATTCTTAGTTACCGGCTTTCGACTCGAGATCGTTTGGTTATTGACATTTGTTCAGATGCATCATTTCGTTAATTTGATTGGCCGGTATACGTCGTTCTAATGGATGTCGTCTCAGGGTCCCATTCACGTTTCCTCGGGCACAGGTGATTGGTTAGTACGTTATCTCTCCTCATTAGTCTGTATTACCCAATGTCTCTTACCTTGTTAGTTGGCTCCAAATTGTTTTAATAGCTTTGCTTCCATCTGCTACTGTGTCCTATGTAAGTGAGGCAGATTTCTTTTGTTTACAATTTAGTCTTGACTCATCTTCCTGTTCTCTTTGCGATTGTGGGGTGCGAACAGTCGGCGGCGATAGAACATTAGTAAACGCTGAAAATATAGCCAAACAGGCGCATAAAACCTAGTTTGATTTGACTTGACTTAGTGTCATGTTCAACAGTAGAACCATCAGCCTGAATGTGGCAAAGTATAATGAAGTAAATGGGTATTGAATGTTCCCCACCCGAAAAACTGCGGTCCGTGACCCATTTCGGATTATTTGATCCCATTAGGCAGATATATAAGCACAGAATTGAATGATTGGGATTTCGGTCGAAACAATGTACCCCTAAGCGACACCCAGTATCGATGTGCTACATCCGTTACAGTTTCAGTGATCAAAACGAGGTTTACTTCAACTTGAATCGCAGTTCACTTTGATTATGCATCATACAGAGCGCTTCAAAATGATCCCTCTACTCAGGCAAAGTATAGTCTCGTTGGCACATAAGCCAAGATTCTTAAATAGCCTCTGCAAAACGAATTGTTCTCCTCCTCGGAGCTTTGGATTGTACTGTACGCCATATTTAATCAGAAGACGATTGATGGGGAAGTTGCATCGATTGAAAGGACAGCGAATTGTCACAAATTGCATTTGCAGTCGTTCGCAATCCGGCTATCGTGGACCACCCATATTAGTTGTTGCCACCGGCAAAAGCACTGTGGACTTGAGTTGTTGTAAGTCGATCAAATAATCTCCTCTGACCGCACCCAAATGAGCTGAAACTTGAGAGAAATTTAGCAGTTAAGTAGTAGAAAGGTTTTGATGGTCGGATGAAAGAATCAGTTAGCGAAATGGACTTACATGTAAGACTAATACCGAATTCCCAAGTGAACGGGGTTTAATCGTATCACTAACCGTTTGCGTACTTAACCCTGAGTCCTTTCTCAAGGACGGTCCGCGGCTCAGTTACTACATGCTGCTGTTGCGTTTCCTCATCCAGCCACACCGGCGTTGCACAGGTAAGCGACACAAGTCAAGTGCTTGTCACCCATATGAAGATCAGGATGAGTTTTTGACCCAAAATCGTCCGGCAGGTCATGGTGATAAAGAAGTCCTGTTACCAAACCCCGATTACCGTCAGATCCGGTTACTATCACGCTCTTGCACACATGGGCAAAGTCGCTCCTTACCAATTCTCAACCAAATGCATCCAATCAAACTCTTGTCTAAAAAAGCCATATTTCTCCCTAGAACACTCGTGACAGCACGTACTCCGATTGCGTTTCATCCAAACTGGGCTCCTGCAACCAAGCGCGTACCGATCGTTGAATGGCCACTCCCCGTCAGGTAATAGGGCATCGGACGTGCATAAACCATCGCATGGCAACACAGAATTTGTCTATAGGCCCAACAGCGTGTATCGCGCGTTAGGGGTTGACACAGCGATCTTCGAAACAGTGTCTGCAGTAGTTGGCTACAATGAAGCTAGCACGACGCACACATGTGTCAAACACACGCGGTACATCCGGGGCTATTGGTTACTACGTATGCGCGTGGGTAGCAGCAGCTGAACCCACTCCGCATCTCCTTCGCGCACTGCCTATCTAGTTGAGGGGTGTGCACTATGCGCGGACAAGGTTTCCTGCAGGCCACCAATGCACAATGTGAGCACCAAATGTAGCTTGAGTTCACCATTGATGGTGGCTAAAATCTCTGTGCATTGCATGCGACACCTCATCGGTTTGACCGATGTGATGTCCATATGCACACGCTCGTCAAGGCATGATGTGCCATGGTTTCATACCCTGGCTAAGCAGTGATCGAACGGAAGGGCTACAATGAACAAAGAACAATGAATTTATACAGGTTAAGAAGCGTTGCTACACAAGTCCCGTTGGATAGTTAGTGGGAATATCGACATAACGATAATGATAATCATGATAGTAAAACAGTTACTGTTTTAAATATGAAACTAAGGACTTATCGTTTGCTCCGCCGTAGTCCTGCGATCCGCTTAGAATCACAGCACCCGCAATTAACATCAATTAATTCCATGGTAAACTCCAGGTGTAGGATGGAGACGTAGTGTTAAGTAACAAAGTGTAAGTGGATGAGTGAATCATCCAACCGTCTTTTAAATGCTGTTAGTGTCGGTGCGGTGACGACCGATTCAGGGAGAGCATTGCACGAGTGACAGACACGAATAGAAAAGAAATCTCTGCGGCACTCCAGGTGGCTATATTGTACAGCGTGTTTCAATGAGTGGCCCCTTAGGTTTGTACTGCAGTCGAGTTGCAGTCACGGGCGACACACATGATGTGGGTCGTGCCATAATCAGATCGCCTAGTAGTCTGCGATAGCTTCCACTGAATACCCCCAATCGTTGCAGTCTCTCTTGGTATGAAATATTGCGCATTCCAAGTACTTACTTAGATGCCGACGTTGTGGCTGCTTCGGTGTATTAAGGTCGTGTTTCAGCAATGGATGCCAGGCCTGAATTGTGTATTCGACATGGGGGCGAACATACGCACTGAGCATTTGTCGAAATATGGAGCTGTGATCTTTGTGATCGGAATGACCGAGGCCCACCTCAAGTGAACCGAGGTCTCAATAGAGGTTGCGTGTAGCAACCCAACCACCAGCGGATTCTCCAAGCCCAACTTTGCATTCGTTCTAGCTGGACCAAGCGTTGCTCGTGGATCTCAGTGGCATAGTGCTTATGGTGTCAACCATGAGCCACTAGACTCTGAATTCCGGCCCAACTCAGGCTATCTCGAACTGATGAGTCCCAACCAGGAGGAAACCACGGTCTTCGGGTGCCAGTGTTGGGGTGAGCAACACTATAATGTTTCCATGGAGCTGTTTAATTGTCCAAACCTCCGTCGCAACAGCCGGACGTGTTGGGTCCCAGTCTTCGAGGCATTTTCGCATTGCCTGGAGCGACCCAAGTCATCTTGAACCAGGACACCCAAGTCACGTTCGAGAGTTGATAGTCGTAGTATATTCGTTCCGAGCCGGTATGAGTAGCTGCTCTGATGTCGGATGGAAAGCACCTTGCATTTACTGGCAATGAATTGCAGTAAGTTTTGGTTTGACCACTGATGGTCACTCTGAACCACAGGTTAGTCGGCGTTCCCCTGGATCCTGCGCCAGATTTTGATATCGTTGGTAAACCTTAGGAAGTTTGAAGCGATTCCTTGTGCAAGGTCATTAATAAACACCAAAAACAAACGTGGACCAAGAACTGATCCTTGCGGCACTACACACTCGACTTGTATGGGGTCCGATAAGGAGCTCCGAACTCTGACCACTAATCGCCGTCGAGGCAGAAAGTTGGCAATCCAGCTTGAAAGAGGGTCTCCGATCCCGTAATGCTGGAACTTGGAGAGTAGTATCCGATGGTTTAGACGATCAAAAGCCTTGAAAAATTCCAGGTACATCACATCAAGCCTTCTGCAGGGTCAGCTGCCTCGGTCCAACTCCTGCGTGCGATTAGTGAATTCGTTGTACATGACCGCTGTCGACGGAAACCCTGCTGCTCTGGCGTGATGATGTTACAATTTTCCAGGTAGCACACCAGTGCATCGGCAAGTATGGATTCCATGACCTTGGAGAGTGTAGGAATAAGGGATACTGGGCGGTAGTTGGAGGGATCAGTATTGCTTCCACCCTTGTGAATCGGGGTTATTATATCAAGCTTACATATGGCGGGAACTTGGTTCTGATCTAAGCAGCACTGGAACAACTGAGCTAAATGTGGTGTCAGTTAATTTGCTGCTGCTTCCAGTGCCTCTGGACGAATGGTGTCGACACCCGGCGAGCTGTGTTTGCATAGAGACGTCAGCTTTTGCAACGCAGCCTCTGCGGCAAAAGTGATGTGGTTTTATCCTGGCGAGGAGACGACAAAGTTGGTAGATCCCTATTTGGTAAGACCCTTTTAAACATGTGGGCATATTGTATCCGCCGCGCGTTTGCTGGCTTCCACAGCAGTTCTTGTTGGGCCATCAGCCGTCCTGAGTGGAGGAAATCCTTGGCTCACCTTTCTTAGCCTACTGACCTACTTGTACAGCACTTTGTGGTTAGCACTGAAGTATTTTTTAATGTGCTGATTGGCGGCTTTGTCTTTTCTTAATAGTTGATTGCAGTGATTAATTACGGTGACGTAGTCGTTCAAAGTTTCTGTTGCTGGAGCTTCTCTGTGCACTCGCCATGATGCGTTGCGTACTGCCATCCATTTTCGAGTTCTGCCCCTAACGGAAGAAACTGATTTACACTTACTGCAAACCTTCATCTCTATATCTTCTGCAATCAGCTGACTGAATTTGTTGACTAACTCGAGCCAGGCGACTACTGTGGGATTTTGCCAAGGAACGACCAAGTTGTGTGGGCTGACGAGCTGGGCTAATCGATTGTAGGTTGTGATGGTTCACACCGTCTTATCGTTCTTATTCAGATATTCTGCATAACAGACGAATTTGAAACTGATGACTACGTGACCAGTGCGACCCAACGGGAAGTCAACAACCAACACATCAATCATATGCTCCTCGTTGGTAAGCACAAGATCCA